GCACTACAAAATAAATAAATAAATAAATAAATAAAAGCATTATGTCCATCTACAACTATATATATATATATATATATATATATATTTTTTTTTTTTTTTTTTTAAGGGCTAGGGATGTGGCTCAGTGGTTAAGTGCCCTTGGGTTCAATCCCTGGTACCAAATAAATTATTTGCAGAGTCTTCAATCCTAGTTTAAAGATTATAAACATCCAACAACTCTGGAAGCTGAGGTAGGAGAATCACAATTTGAGGCCAGCATAGGCAGTGCAACTTAGTGAGACCCTGTCTTAAAAAGGGCTTGGATTCAATCCCCAGTACCCCCCCCACACACACACACACAAAGGAACTATCTCAGTAAGGAGGCAAGCACTACAAAGGATATTCATTACATTTGAGTTTATACTCAAAAGAGGGATGGGATGCAAGCATTCATAATAAAATTTGCTGATACAAAAAAAAAACAACAACAACAATAATCCCAACTACTCAGGAAGATTGAAAGTTTGAGCCCAGCCTGAACAACTTAGTAAGATCCTGTCTCAAAAAAATGTTTTAAAGAGGATTGGGGGGTGTAGCTCATTGGTACATAGTTTGCCTAGCATGCACAAGACCCTGGGTTCAATCCCCAGGACTGCAAATAAAACAAACAAAAATTTTGCGTATGAGGAAGTGGACTTAGGCATAACAGGGCCCCTTTGCCTGCTTGCTATGACTGTTGCGTTGTCAACTAATAAACAGGATCCAGTTTGTTTCACTTTTCAGGAAGAGGCAGGTGGTTTATCTTTGGCTCTTTAATTATTTCTTAAAAATTGTTCTGTTTGGGGGCTGGGGCTGTGGCTCAGTGGTAGGGGCACTTGCCTTGCACATGTGAGGCACTGGGTTCAATCCTCAGCACCACATAATAATAAATAAATTGTTAAAAAATTGTTCTGTTTGGCTGGAGTTGAAGCTCAGTGGTAGAGAGCTCGCCTAGCATGTGTGAGGCACTGGGTTCRATCCTCAGCACCACATACAAATAAATAAAGGCATTGTGTCTGTCTACAACTAAAAACAAATTTTTAAAAATTGTTCTGTTTATTTCAAACTAAAAAGCAGTTTCAGTTCCAAACTAATTTGTACAGTTTCCTTCACTGAAACTCTTGTGGTGCCATTTTAGGATCAGTTCCTCTGGCCTCATTTGCCTGACAGGACATCTGTTTGTATATCAAGTCAGCTGCTCTGAAGCTACATCACAAGTACACTCATTACATGCCAAACCAGTAAATCCTATTACTGTCTTGGACACTTTTCTGTTTATGTATTTCTTATTCTTACTGTCTATTCTGGTTAGTTTTCATCTTATACTTGAACTACTGGAATCATTTTTCTGGATTCCTGTCTCCAATCCATCCTACATGTTGAATTGAGTTCCTAAAATACTTATCGCACTTTTATTTTCCTGTACCCTCAAATCTATAACTCCTACCCCTGCCTGCTCCATCAAGTTAAAATTCCTCAGCATGAGTTGGGCATAGTGGCATATGCCTGTAATCACAGCGACCTGGGATGCTGAGGCAGGAGGATTCCAAGTTCAAGGCCAGCTTCAGCAACTTAGTGATGACCTTTCTCAAAAATAAATATTTTAAAAAGGTGTAGTTCAGTGGTGCTGAGTTAAATCCCCAGTACTCCTCCCTGTACCCCCCAAAACAATCCCTCAGCATGGCTTTTCTTTTTTTCCTTTTGGTATCAGGGATTGAATCCAGAGGTGCTTAACCTCTGAGTCACATCCCCAGCCCTTTTTATTTTTTATTTTAAGACAGGACTTCTAAGTTGTGTAGGGCCTCACTAAGTTGCTGAGGCTGGTTTTGAACATACCATCCTCTTGCCTCAGCCTCTCAGCCACTGAAATTACAGGCATAAGCCATTATGCTTGACTCAGCATGACTTTTCTCATGCTGAGTAAAACCTAAATTCTATTCATAACCTTCAAAGCCCTAGAGAATCCAGCTTTGCTACTTCTATGACTTCATCTTCTCCCATACTCCCTTTCACTCAGTCCATTCCAGACACATATGCTATTTTATCTGTCTAAGCATAAATCCATCTTTACCTTTATTCCTTACTTGGAAGCTCT